CCCAGCCCCACCCCCCGCTCGCAGGCCTCCACTTCTGGGGCCCCGCACCCAGCCCCACAGCCGGGGCTCTGCTCCTGGCCCCGCACGTGGGGTCCCAGCTGCCAGCCTCTGCCTGGGGCTCCGCTCCTGGCCCGACTCCCACCCCCTTATCCCTGTCCGGGTCTCCCCCTCCCAGAGACACAGCCCCTGCTCCCAGCCTCAGCTCAGAAGGGGAGGGGGGACAGACAGAGGTAGGGGGAATGGCTTTCAGCATCCCCACTACTAAAAATGTTCCAGCACCACTGCACACAATGGAGTTTGCATTAAGGTTGCACAAGTTTTGAAGGCTTGACTTTGCAACCTTAACATTCTTTAACATAGTAAATTACATTAAAAATCTAAGTTGTTTTAAAAACATAAAAATTAAATTACATGACATAGAATCATATTGATCCCCATAGAACAGTCCTCTATCACTTGAGCTAACAGAATAACTGGTAGCAATAGAAGGTTGTTATCTTCTATGTGGCCCTGCCTTTAAGGGGAAGGAGTCCCTTTGCTAGTGGGTTTCACAGCTATTTGCTAGCTAGTAAAGGAATGTTGAAACTCAGGAATAGGGTTCAACACCATAGGAGTGTTCTGTAAAAGTTACCAACCCTTCTGCCTCTGTCCATCCACCTTCTCCCAGTTCCCTTCTGCTCCTAATCCCTGTTTCTTCAGCTCCTACTCCTGTTCCCTCCCTTCCCCACTATTATCCCCTCCCAACTCCTGTCCATTCCCCCACACCGCATCCCTGCTTCCCCCTACACCTATCCTCCCCTAGTCCCTGTCCATCTTTTCTTCCTCTCCACTTCTATCCCTTCACTACTGCTCTCCCCTCAACTCCTGTCTGTTCCCCCACCCCACACCTTTGTTCTCCCCTGCTCCTATCTTCTCTGCTTCTATCGTCTCCCTCTCCAAGGCTTCTGCTCCCACCCCTCACTCTACATTTCCTACTCCTAGTCCCCCACCCACCCACCTATGTACGGCACCATTCATCATACCTCTGCATTCATGTCAGGCTGCCTCATACTTCTTTTCAGCATTCTCTGGGTGCCAGCAGGGGGAGCAGTGAAAACAGAAAACAGTCTTCTTGCTCCAGTTCCAGTATCCTGCTCAGCCCCTGCAGATCTGAGATGAAACCCTCGCACAGTAGGGATGGTTCATGTTCAATCTGGTCATCACAGTGCAGTAAAAATATTCAGAGAATGTAGCCACCGAACACTAAGGCTACGTCTACACTACGGGGGGGGGGGGGGGATCGATTTCAGATACGCAAATTCAGCTACGGGAATAGCGTAGCTGAATTTGACGTATCTGATCCGACTTACCCCGCTGTGAGGACGGCGGCAAATTGACCGCCGCGCCTCCCCCGTCAACGGCGCTTACTCCTATCTGGGCTGGTGGAGTACGCGCGTCAATTCGGGGATCGATTATCACATCCCGATGAGACGCGATAAATCGATCCCCGAGAGATCGATTTCTACCCGCCGATCCGGGCGGGTAGTGAAGACAAGCCCTAAGTCTCTACTTAGTAGAGTGAACTGAGATTTCTTCAGAGGCTGATAACTTGGCCAAATTTGGGCGTATGTTCATGGGGACGGTAAAATAATAAATAATTATGATACCTAGCTCTTATATAGCACTTTTTATCAATCGATTTCTAAAGCTCTTTACAACGGAGGCACCTAACAGTAGGGTGATCCTAACCCTAACCCACTGGCAAATTTTAAGCTCTTGCTCCAAAGTATGAGTTGCCAGAGCTTCTCAATGAAATGCTTGTAATTTTTTACAATATAGGCAAATTAATGTATTTTCCTCTAATCTTGCTCTCAGAAATGACTGAATCATTTTAGATTTTAGAAACTTTTTGGGAGGGGGGGAAAAATCTGTCTTAGGCAGACAGCCAAGCATAGAAAAATTTCTGCCAAAATGGTTTAAGTTTGGGAAAGCTTTAAACAACTGAAAATGGGGTCTTATACTGGAAAAAGTCAGGCAACCTTAACTTTAGGCATTGCTACCTGCACTGTCTATAATGATATTGATATTAAGGAAGATCAAAGAAGGGAAGTAAAAGACAAGCCTTGCTCTTTTCTTTAAAATAAATAAAAAATTACCTATTCTAGTCTCCACTATTCTAACACTAACGGCACCTTTACTTCCTGATTGATTGTGAGCAGATAACTCCAAACATTTTTCACATGAGAGAACCCTGGGTTGGAGTAGCAGCAGCGACAACCCAGGTAATGAATGACAAAGTCAACCTCTGCTCCTTTTGCTGTTGTTTCTCAACAACTAAAGGGGTTGAGGGTAGAAATCCATTGATCCAGTGAACCATCCCTACAGCACAGAGCATCTGCCAGCAACATACCCTACACTTGTCTAGATCTCCGATGCACCTTTGATTGCTTTCCTATTTCTTTTGGACCAATTAAAAAAAAAAAAAAGATGGGGAGAAGAAATACACCATCATGTTTTTGTTTTATTTGTGTCTGTTCAAGCACTAGATATGACAAGAGAATTAAGGGTAGATTTGAAATAAATCTAAATTTCAAAAGAATTGTACAGCAAAACTCAAACTATTGGTTTGTCAGCAATTTCTACAGCAGGAGCATGTCAAGGAACTCTCTAATCTAATGGCATGGACCAGACATGTAAATTAATTTTTGTATAATTTTAGATAGTATACTGAATAAACAATGCAGTCAGAAAAGGTAAGTATATTGAGCCTAGAATTCTGTATACTATTTTTATGCCTCAAATATTTCAGTTGTATCTTTAAGTACTTCTGATCAAAATATTTGTAGGTTCTATAGCATGAAAGGACTGGGTAGCCTGGGGAAATTGACAATGGTCTTTCTATCTTTTTAAGTATTTACAAAGTACCTATCACCCTGGAACTTAAGCGCTTTTCACCTCTAAGTTATTGGTTTGAATCAAAGGCAGATCAGTGCTGATTGAAAGTCTTTATCCTTTAGGAGCCTATATGAAAGGAGTCAGACACAATGTTCTAATTCCTAGTGAGCAGATATACACACCACCAAAAAGGTGGTCCTGTGGATAGAGTACTGAACTGAGATTTAGAAGATTTGGTTTCTAATCCTGGTTCTGCCACTGATCTGCTGTGTGATCTTGGGCAAACCAGTTCCCCACTCAGCTGTCTTTTTAGATTGTAAACCCTTGGACAAGGAGTATCTGCCAATAGGGATTTATACAGCATTTAGTAGAAGTGGCCCTGATTTCAGTTGAGATTTCTAGGCACTAGAATAATAATTGGAAGTCTAATTTAAAGGGTTAAGGACTGAATGGACAAAGAGAATGAACTAACCTCTAAGACCTGGTCTATCCTTAAAAGACATAGATATATTGGTCAGGGTTTGGGGGGGGGGGGAAAAAACACAACACTGACCAATGCTGAGTTAACCCCCAGTATCAATGCAACTATTTCAACAGAAGTATTCTATCAACGGAGCTACTGTCACTGGGGAAGGTGGTGTTCCAACACCAACAGAAAAACTCCTTTTGGCAGTGTAGGCTGAGTCTATACCGCACTGCCATAGTGGGCATCATTTCCATTGCGTAGATATACCCTAACTTTTAAAGAGCAATCTGGGGAAGTTAACAGTGTCTGTACTACACCAGCTCTATGATTCTATCCATCAACAGAGGACTTCATTTTCTAGTGCTGTCAGTCTAGCATCTTCCTCAATAAGTTTCAACCTTCAAATAATTATTTGGATCAAGTTGCAAGTTACATTTTTATTATTCGATGTGGTTTACACACACATCCCTTATTCATATCAGATCACTAGTCCCATAACAATGTCCTTTCTCTTATGGAAAAAAGTTCTATAGAATTTAATAGGGGGAAAACTGAATACAGTTTTTAAAGAATCTTAGAGAATTATTTAACAGGGATTTAATTCTCTATTAAATTTAATAGGATGGGGTAAACTTTTATGTAGAAAAGTCTCTCTATAAAATCTACAGGATATTTTCCGTAAGGGTCAAATTTCCATTTTCTATGGTACTAGTCTGTATTCCTCCAGCAAATCAGCAGGTTGAGAATAAATAATAAGGATCACTCTAATAAAATTTTAACTCATGTCAATATTTCAAAGACACTATGTGTCTCAATAAGGGCTTTGCAGGGTTAGTCCTTAGGACTGTCTCTTTTCTCTGAGCTCTATATAGCTGTGTTTTTATTGTATATCAGATTGTTTCAGCACAGTTTTGTTAAAGGTAGTTTATCACCTTATTTGAGTAAAGAATGTAATGAATATCTAGATGGGTTTTATAAATACTAAATCCTTTTTAATCTCTTCCCCATATTCAAATTGTTGCAGCACAGTTAATAATATCATTTAACAAAGCCATACCACTACCTTTTCATTTTACCAAAAGAAGTGTCAAAAGTCTTATATATTCATTCCAGGATATTCTGAGCTTCTAGGAACACTTGATGTTACAAAAGCCACACATTAGGTTTAACAGTTTACAGTTTCACCTTGAATAGACACTACTTTGCAGCTAGTTTAGAAGAGATAAAGCATTTGGGCAGCAACAAGGACCACAATGCTTTGGGGGAGCTTAAGTTTGTGCTTCAGAATTCTTTCAGAAGGGAAAAGGGGGGGGGGGGGACTTCCTGTCATTTCCATTGCTTTCTGCATGTGGGACCAACATGGGCAATGCAGAGTTTAAACAGTTGCAAATGGAGGGAGGGAACATCGTGCCTTGTTTTACATATTTCTCCCTGACTGGGTTGAATTTAACATGAAGTTGCTCCATTGTTCACATGGCTCCCTGCCCCATATACATTGACAGAAGCTACTGTTTACATGGACTTTTCATTCCTTCATTGTTTGCTTATGGAAAATAAGGGGGAGTGACAAAAAAGAGAAGGGAAAGAGAGAGAGAAAAGAGGGAGGCACTGACCATAGTGCAGAACCACCCAATAACCTTGTCTTATGTGATCATTAACCTTGCTGGAAAATGCATCTGGCAGTTCACTCTGGAGCTTGTCATTAGAATGTGAGCAGAGACACAGATACTGCAGAGGCATTTCAAGGATTTTTTGATTTGCTGCAAGTATTATAAATATTTCACCTATTTTGTGTGACTGCAAAATGAGATTCCAACAGCTCCTTTATATCTTATTTTTTCTCTTGATGAGTCTACTCCTTATCAATGGACAGAGGCCAGGTAAGAATTGTGTCTTCACATTACATGTTAATATGTATATTTTATATGAGTACGGACTATACAGTTTCAGTTTATTGCTATGACTTTGTTCCAAACACTTATGAATTCTTAGTTATTGTACTTCCATTGCTATTTGTTTTGCAGATTTTTTAAAGCCCTGGGTCTATAGACATATTAATAGTAATAAAGATATACATGTATACAGTGTAACTATTAAAAGGTCTAAAGAAATTAATTTAAACCAGATCTAAAGATGTTGCATTTCCATGCCTGCTCATGAGAAAACACGATCAGACAAATGTTATATCAGCTACATCAAACGTATCTGGGTATGTAGCATCCACAGCACTTAGCTTTGATGATTGACTTGACTAGGCTGAGTTTACGCCCTGATAAAAATCACGATGAAACCAAATGAAGCTGTTAAGACGTCAACAGCTATAATCACGGTGGTGATACAGATGAATTCGGACACTTAAGGAGCAATACATATGTTTAAAAGGTTGCAAGTAGCATCTTTACGAATATTGGATGGGGGGAGGGAAAGAGTTCTACACTTGCTGCGATGCAATTTTGTTTACTACTTAGCATTGACGGTAACCTATCATTCAAATCTGGTATCTATGTTGATTGCAATTTTAGTGTTTCCTATGACGGCTTTAAAGCAGTGCTTTGATCATATTTATCATAAAAAGCGGTAGTAAAAAAGAAGCAGCTTGTTTGCTGTACAATTATTGTTAGACGGATCTGAAACAACCAGCCATTCAAAACTTCCACACACTTATGAAAGAAAACTTAACGAGGTTTTTGAATGAACAAAATATGGAAGCAAAATTCCAAGCAGTATAATTATAGTCTTTAAGTTAGGCAACTGTAGCAACTACACCAAAATAAACTAATTTCACTCTATTTCCTGATTAAGGCAAAATAAAGTTGTCAGCAGGAGCAGAGAAGGTAACAACGCGCCGCACTGCTGGTTGCATTTCTGACTCTTCTTTTTGGTTAAGGAAGTTTTATCAATGGAGGAGGGGGGGGAACATCTCAAATGTGACCCTATCTCTGTCTTCGTCGGTGCAGAAATCAACGCAAACTTCATGACTACTACGCCCGCTGTAGAGCCAGATTGCGCCCTAACTTGAAATTAGAACACATAGAAAAGGGGCTCGATATACAAAGTATATAAGGAAGGGATTCATCCTGTAAGGTGGAGAGCACTATGGCCCCGATTCGGAAATGCATTTATTTTACGCAACTGTTCAAAATGTTTGGGGGTGATATACCTTCTGCTCCAGGAATGGTGACTGCAATTTTTGAATATGCTCGGTCAACAAGCTTATGGCACATGGGGGGGGGGGGGGGGGGGGGGGCTTTTTTTTTAAAGGGGGGAAAAATTAAATATGGGGAGGGGTTTTTTTTAACCCAAAAGGGGGGGGGGGCGGAAGGCTGTGAGGACAACTAGGGCGAATATGGAAGAAGCGGTATGGTTCAGTGCAAAGACGTTTGTGTTTCTTTCCGTTGCTTTGCTGCTTAATATCCAATAGCACTTGCCAGAAATTCTTAGAAATTCAGAAGGGGGAAAAATGCAAAAACAAACAGGTTGGTGTAGGCCATCAATGCCCGCGGTGATGCCTGGATATCAGGTTCTTTTGCATGCTGTGTGCTCAGTATACACAAGTATCAGAGGAGTAGCCGTGTTAGTCTGAATCTGTAAAAAGCAACAGAGCGTCCTGTGGCACCTTTGAGACTAACAGAAGTATTGGGAGCATAAGCTTTCGTGGGTAAGAACCTCACTTCTTCAGATGCAAGTAATGGAAATCTCTAGAGGCAGGTATAAATCAGTGTGGAGATAACGAGGTTAGTTCAATCAGGGAGGGTGAGGTGCTCTGCTAGCAGTTGAGGTGTGAACACCAAGGGAGGAGAAACTGCTTCTGTAGTTGGATAGCCATTCACAGTCTTTGTTTAATCCTGATCTGATGGTGTCAAATTTGCAAATGAACTGGAGCTCAGCAGTTTCTCTTTGGAGTCTGGTCCTGAAGTTTTTTTGCTGTAAGATGGCTACCTTTACATCTGCTATTGTGTGGCCAGGGAGGTTGAAGTGTTCTCCTACAGGTTTTTGTATATTGCCATTCCTGATATCTGACAAGTGTAATTGTCTGATTGTTGAAGTTTTCGATTCAAACCGTGTGGTTTCAATTCCCGCTTCTGCCTTTCAGCTAACCTGGCCCTGCGCAGAAAGCTGCACAGACACAACTGCTCCCACAGGCGATGTATGCCTCTCCACTCCAGAGTGCCCTTCCCCTGAGGTATATGAAATCCAACCTTACTTTGCTAAAGTTAGGAGAGTTCGGTAATAAAACCAGGCGCCAAGGAGGATGTAATTATCAAAGCTTCCCTATACATTTCTTTGGAAACACTGCTGAACATGCTCTCCAGAATAAGCACATTTCCAAATTCTGCTTACATTTCAAAACAGTTTGCGCTGCATTTTACTAAACCAAACCACAGACATGATTGCATTTGGTCTCGAGTCCTTGCGATTTCTTTGTTCTGGAAACAGGGCTTTGACAAAAGGAGTAGAGGGGAAAAGTATGCTTTATTTAAACTCCATGGCAGGATCCCAGATGTGCTAGGATTATTGCACTTGATTACAGTGTTTTCAGTATGGCAGATTCTGCACAAGAAATTAGCTCCTTTGGATAACGTGCTGTCCCACATTAGCATTCCTTTATACTTCTCCCCTAGGCAAATTCAAACTCCCTCCTCTCCTTACACAGGCTGAAAATTCTTGAATCTGTTATATCTGAAACGTTGCTGGGCTAGAAACACTTCCCACTGTACTATTGTAGTTCTGAGTACATTTCTCTTTGTATGAAAAGCTAACCCCAAATGTTTAAAAAGGAAGCGCTGGCCCGGGATGAGAACTTTAGACTAGGCACCAAGAGTACTCGGTTATAGCTGTAACTGATTTGCTGTGTGAGGTGGGACAAGTCACTTGTTCTGTCTTACTCTTTGCCCTATGTTCTCCCATCACTAACTTACGTACTTCAAAGAGGATTGTGAAGCTTAATTAATGTCAGCAAGGGGCTTTGAGATCCTTGGATGAAAGGCTATGCAAGGGGAAAACATTAATGCTCTATAGCAGATTACAGAATATGCATCCAAATACGTGCATATTCAAACGCATTCCTGTGACTCCAGAAGCATACAAGTAGCATATGTAAATATAGTAGGGTAGGCATCAAAAGGATACCAAGACTCCCTTTCAGGGAAGCATGCAATTTAAGAATAAATAAAACATTCATAACTTTAAGAATGAATAAAACATGCAGTCAATAGTTTTGCATCTTTTAAACTCTTTGTTATAGTCAAGATAATGTGCTAGCCCCAGGCATGTCAGCATAATTAATAAATAATGACAGAATCTAGACTAGGAGGAGCCAAGAGGTTTCAATTAGCTAAGTAAGCATTTGACTGTATAAAACAAAGCCCAAAGCAGAGCTTCTGACAATGCCATGAATATAATTTCTATTTTGCATAAAGCAAACACACACCACTCCCAAAACTACCTATCAAGGGCATCCGTGTTTCCCTGCTGCTACCACGACCAAGTAGCAACTGGCTACACTGGTCTATAAACACAATGGTATGTGTATATGACATACATAGGAAAAGCACAGGAAGCTGGAAAACTGCAAGCCTAAAGAATGATTAAGAGGTATCTTCAGCATAACCCCAGATTTATTCCAACACTGCATTGAGGCAGTAACTAGAATATTTTCAGGGTGCAGGTTTAAAAACGCTCATATTAAAGTGTTTAAAGAGAGATCTGCCTAACTGGTGCTTCAGTATTGAGCACCAAGGCCAACCTGCCTGCTCATTTCAAAGGAGACAGTCGAGACAAGATCCCTCATCAGTATCAGCATAAACATAACCAGCTAAGCAATCAGATCAGCACGCTCAGCAGGCAGACAGGAGTTAAGTGAGCTGAATGTAGAGAGGGATAGTGGAATTTTAGTTTAGGAGCAGGGAGCTTGTTGAGTCACTCCTGAACGACTTGCTTCAATTCTGATTAAGATAGTGGACTCAGCACCCCTTTCCCCCAATCCTGCATTTATAGACTAGAGAGAGTCTGTGAACAGACTATCTACATTTTCTCTAATGTGTCCCCGAAATAGTATATCATACATTTGGCTTCAGATTGCACTGTCTGGGTGATAAATATGCACTTACTCTGGTTTTTTCTTCCCTTCTTCCCCATACAGTATATCAATTTGCCAGACTAAAAGCTATTTTCAAAGTTATCTGCTTTAGTTCAGGGAGCTAATTTCTAGTAACAAAAAGTCAGTGACATAGCAAAAAAATGTACTCATTAATTCATACCCAATTTTATAGGCGTTTAGCTAAAGATTGTTATAATCCTGTTCTGTCAAGCTCTTTAGAAGTCTACAGGGCTTCATTTTGGGGGGAGGAGGGATTTAGCATGTGCAGCTCTTACTGATTTCAGCTGGAGCTGTTGGTAATCAGTGCTTTTGAAAAAAAATCAGGCCTTATATCTTAAGTGGGCTTTACCTTTGAGTTCCATTTCCTTTCCAGTTTTAAACTGGAAATTTATTTTTGTGTATTTACCACAATTGTAATTTAGCATCTTTATTTATTTACAGTGGCATCTAGAGACCCCAACCACAATCAGGACCACATTGTAGCTGGACATACCTATGGTAAGAGACAGTTCCAACCCCAAAGAGTTTACAGTCTAAACCAGGGGTGGCCAACCTGAGCCTGAGAAGGAACCAGAATTTACCAATGTACATTGCCAGAGAGCCACAGTAATACGTCAGCAGTCCCCTCCCATTAACTCCCCCGCTCCCAGCGCCTTCAGCCCACTGGCAAACCCGCCGATCAGCACCTCTCCCTCCCGCCCCCCCCACCTCCCAATCAGCTGTCTGGGGGAGGGAGAGGGAGGAGTGAGGGCATTGCAGGCTCAGGGGAGAGGGCGGGAAGGGGTGGAGTCGGGGCAGGGCCTGTGGCAGAACCTGGGATTGAGCAGTGAGCACCCCCTGGCACATTGGAAAGTTGGTGCCCGTAGCTCCAGCACCAGAGTCTGTGCCTATAAAAGGAGCCGCATATTAACTTCTGAAGAGCCACATATGGCTCCAGAGCCACAGGTTAGCCCTCCCTGGTCTAAACAGACAAGAGAGACAAAGCAAGTATTATTATTCCCATTTTACAGATAGAGAATTGAGGCCTGGATCCACAGAGAGACTTAAGTGATACAATGTGGTGTGTTGCAAAACCTAACTTTAGGTGTCTTGAAAATCACTGGGATATACAAGTTGCAGTGAGGCACCTAGGCTCCCTATACAAGGAAGGGGGAGAGAGAGAGTTGCTTTAGAATGGGATCCATAAAAGCCAGCATGCTGGGCAGGGGTCACCTAAACTAGCCAACGGGAGGTGCTGACAAGAGGGGTGTATCCTAAGCCCTGCCCCTGACAATGTTCAGCACCTAAAGTCCAGCTGCAGGGAGGAATCTAGCTAGTGATCCACAGCTGGAAACCTCCTTCCTGGAATCAGACAAGTTAGGCCTTGAAACAGCCAGTTCATGCAACACCCAGCTTAGGCACCTGCCTGCTTCTACACAAGCCAGTGACTCAACCAGGATATGGAAGACCCCACTTTCAATTCTCACCTATGCCTGATGAGGAGATGAATACTGTAACCACTGGCCTGCAGAATGCTTCACCTTCACACACACACACACACACACACTCTCTCTCTCTCTCTGGCCCAGTTAATATTTAACTTCAATGGACAGGCTTTAGCAAGAGAGACCCACATCAGAATATCCCATAGTTTAGTGGTAAGGGCACTCTCTTGTTCAAATCCCTTTTCCTCATCAGGCAGAAGGGGGAATTGAACCATGGTCTCCCACAGCCCAGGTGAGTGCCCTAACCACTGGACTAACAGTTTTAAGGGAAGTGACTGCTGTTGCTTCCTCCCCCCATCCTTTTGCACAGAGTTAGGCTATCATTAGGGCCCTTCCAAATTCATGGTCCACTTTGGTCAATTTCACAGTCAAAGGATTTGAAAAATCACAAATTTCATGATTTCAGCTATTTAAATCTGAAATTTCACAGTGTTGTAATTATGAGACTCCTGACCCAAAAAGGAGTTGTGAGGGGGTCACAAGGTTATTATAGGGGGGTTGTGGTACTGCTATCCTTACTTCTGTTCTGCTGCTGGCAGCAGCGCTGCCTTCAGAGCTGGGCAGCTGGAGAGTGGCGGTTGCTGGCTGGGTGCCCAGCTCTGAAGGCAGAGCCGTGGCCAGCAGCAGCACAGAGGTAAGGATGGCATGGTATGGTATTACCACCCTTACTTCTGTGCTGCTCCCTGCAGAACTGGGCCCTCAGTCAACAGCCGCCACTCTCCAGCCACCCAGCTCTGAAGGCTGCAGTGCAGAAGTAAGGGTGGCATGGTATGGGATTGCCATCCTTACTTCTGCGCTGCTGCTGGCGACAGCTCTGCCTTCAGAGCTGGGCACCCAGCCAAAAGCTGCCACTCTCCAGCCACCCTGCTCTGAAGGCAGCGCAGAAGTAAGGGTAGTAATACCGTGACCCCCTAAAATAACTTTGTAACCCCCCTACAACTCCCTTTTGGGTCAGGACCCCCAATTTGAGAAATGCTGGTCTCCCTTGTGAAATCTGTATAGCATAGGGTAAAAGCACACAAAAGACCAGATTTCACGGGGGTGGGGGGAGAAGGGGGAGAGAGACCAGATTTAACGGTTTGTGACACGTTTTTCATGGCCGTAAATTTGGTAGGGCCGTAGCTATCATCTACACTTAAAATGCTGCAGCTGCACCGTTGGAGCACTTCAATGTAGACACTCACTACTGTGACAGAAGGGGTTCTCCCATTGCTATAGTTGATCCACCTCCCTGAGAGGCAGAAATGAGATTGACTAAAGAATTCTTCTGTTGACCTAGCACAGTCTATACCGGGAGTTAGGACAGCATAGCTACATTTCTCAGGGGTGTGGATTTTTTTATACGCCTGAGACACGTAGCTTTGCCAATGTAAGTTTCCAGTGCAGACCAGCCCTTTGGTGTGCCCCAAGTAAACCACCAGATCAGGCCCTGCAGGCGAGCTAGAAGGATGGGCACCTATCTTCCCTAATTTGAGAATTGCACTGGGGCTTAGATGGGAGATAGACAGGCACCAGGATGCCTGAGGCAGCAGTGTGCATGCCCAGAGGCAGAAACTTAGGCACCTAGGAGACTTTTTTACAGCAAAAGTTAGGCCTGTGTGAGTTTAGATCCCTACAGAGTTAGGTGGCAGCCAAGTGGGGATTTTGTGGCTCACAGTGGTGCCTAAAAGTGGAAGTTAGGTACCTGAATCTCTCTGTAGATCTGACCCTAAGTGAGTTGTCCATTGTGGTACAAAAATCTGGGGCAGAACTCAACCCAGATCTTCCAAGTCCCACTCCAGTGCCTCAAGCACAAGACCATATTTCCTTCTATCTAATGAGCTGTTATTGCAAAGCTTACCATTTGTTTTCTGGAATCTGAGCTGTCACAGGAGACCGTTGTAATGTATCTGGGAATTCAGTAGTTGGGATCTATTAGCCCTTCCTAGCAGACCACTTGAAACAAAATTATGAGACTCACAGGCTCCTCCGAGCCTACACAAACAGCAATGGCTGTTGAATGATTTACTTATTTAACAGATTTAAAGAAAATGAGGCCCACTGGGTGAATATCTACTGTTTACCTGATTCAAATGAAGCAGAATAAGCAAACTATGACCATTGCATTTAAGGATATTGGCTTCCACTACAAACACCCTGTTCAACCAGTACAAATAAAAAACAAACCACCAAAGAAAATCATTGTTTGATTAACCTTGATTTTCTATAGTAATCAGGTCCTCTAATTAAAAGGAAAACAATATTTGGAATGTGGCACCATAGTGAAAGAGAAACTTAAATAAAAAGAAAGCTATTCCTTCCTGGGCCAGAGGTCAAGAATGCATTTGATTTTTTTAAAATCCACACACTTCACAGCTCCTTGCAACCACACATCAGCAGAGGTGAGGTGCCTAATTCATGCAATCAAAATAATGAGATGAAATTCTGGTAACGATTACAAACAGAAACAAAAACTTTCTCTGTGTCAAAATGTAGGGAGCTACTGAACATCCATGAACCTCTTTAAAGATTAATGGAATTGACAGTGCAATGATTTTAAATCAAGTGTGATTTTTGCCTTCCCAAACCATACTTTCTAACAGAAAGAAGAATGAAAGAGGAAACCAGTCAAGAAAATGTGATGTGATAGCTGCAGCATTCTAATCAGTGCAGGTGTCTATGTAAAAGCCATCACCACACTCAGAACCTTATCAGACTCCTTCTGGAACAACTTCACAGTAGTTTCAGATTTCTCTAAGTTGGGAAAAACAATGGAATCTCAAAGGACCCCTTTCAGGAACTTGGGAAAATCAAGAGTGCCATAAAAAGATAAGTCATTCTTTTCTACCTACCAACAAATAGCCATGTGGGTAACAGCAAAGCATTGTAGCTTTGAAATTTTTCAAAAATTAGACCAACATTATACCACTGAAAGAGCTATTATTTTAATAGTTATTATTTACCATTCACATATGTCTGTGTATTTCTATTTAGATATAATACCTAGTAAAGAATATGAAAAAGAATGGTGAAAAATAAATATTTAATAGTTACATTTTATGGACAAATATATGGGTTTTAATGTTTATGGTAGTATTGGATGTTTATATGTAGCCATAATTATGCAATTAACTTTAAGAAAAGCATAATGTATCTATCAGAAAGCTGTAAGTGCTAACCTCTCTTAGGAAGCAAAAATCTTCAATCTAGACTTTAGAAAAGAATCCTGAATGTTATAAATCATGTTGCATACCACAAAAACGTAGGTCATGATCTTTGATGGTTATTTGTGTTTATAAAATACCTATGTGGCTGTATATTTTGTAAAAAAAAAAAAATTATGCTCTTCAATTAATGTCTCATTTTAAATAAACTTTGTACAATTTTTGTTTTTAATTTTAATTTTATATTCCTTATGTGTAAAGGGTCCTGCACCCAAAGAAAAATTAAGAATGTACCTAATTTCTTTTGTAAATTTCATAAGGGATCAATGTAAAACTTTTCCTACTCAATTTCTGACATACGGTTAAATAAAAATCAGTTATTCACTTGATGTTACATTTTCAGCAGATTTTTTTCCCCAATTTTTCTTTGCATTCTGAAAGTATTAAAATAATTCTAGTAATGTTGATACATAGAAACAACTTATTATGAGATTCTTGCATTTAACCTATAGGATAGTATAGTTAAAGCATTATACTGCGTCATGTCACTTGATATGATAAAACAATGTGATTTGCATTGGGATGCAGACATGATTCCACATCTCTAAGTCTGAAATAAATGTGAGTCTTTAACTGTCCTATAAACTACACTGGACCTTGAAAACTGAAAATTTCCTGCAAATAAAATGAAATGTCATTGCCCTGTTTTAGGGCAAGCAGCAACTCCAGCAGTAAAAGAAGTGGTCCTATTTCCAAATTGAGAGCAAAAGCCAAAATCAGCATTAACTCATTCCTGGAAAGGATGAATACAACAAGTAAATAACAATATGGTGCTTATTTGAGTCTAAAATGGAAAAAAGTGGTAGTAGCCATTGAAGTCAATAGGAATTTTGCCATCAACATTAGTGACAGCAGAATTGGGACTAACAGGCCCGATATTCAATTGAGCCTCAAATCACACTTGACTTACGTACAGGTTTTTGTGTGTGGGGTTTGGTTTTGTTTGTTTTGTTTTTGTTTAAGGTGCACTTTCACTTGGAGTGTAGAATATACACATGCAAGCCCATTTAGACAAATGGGCGTTTGTATGTGAGAATCTGGTATCACCTACAAAAATAGGAGACATTTGGGTCCCAATCCTGCCACAACAAACCCACATGAGTAATCCGACTGAACTGAATCAAATTATTCATCTGCCTGGGTGTTAACAGGATTAGCTCCATTGTGTGTGTATACACCTGCAGGGCTGCACACATGCAAATGGAAGCTGCTGAAAAATCAGAACTCAATTACATAAGGAACTAACCTAACTTGAATTTTAAAAAACCTTAACTAAGTGGTATTTAGTTCTCAAGCTGACACAGTCAAAATGTGGGTTTTTGAAACCTAAATAAATATCCCAAAATAGAGAAGGAATCTGAGATTATGTTGGACTATTTATTTAACAAATTTTATATCCAACTCCCTTTCAACAACTCTTTAAATTACATTAGCTATTTAGAGTGAAATACAAAATAATATAAAACCAGGTCAGCAGGAAATAGACTGTGGTGAGAAACAGCAGAGCAGTATGTTCACAAATGATAAACAATTCACCTCTTCCCTTTCCAGTATAGACAAAGGAAATTATAGAAGAATAAGTCTGGTAATGCTTCTCTTACACACACACACACACTCACTCTGCTCTCGGTCGCAGTACATTTATCCCAGTGTAACCTACAGCAGAATTTGACCCAAAAATGCTAGGTTTAGTAAGCGAAACTCAAATATTTTAACTCCATAGCACAAGTGAATCATAAACTGCTACAGACCAGTACTTTGTATAGTGATCTACTACTAATATTTACCTTATTTCTTTCTAGTAACAACAATCAATATATTTTTTGTCAACCATAGCACAATTCTGATACAAAAAACATTGTAACATACCTTTTTATTCAGGAGCAATGCTTAAGTGCTTAGCTAAATCCAGTAATGATGATGCTTTTTTGCCTAACTCTCAGAGTTAGGCTGTTGATAGACTTGTCAGCTGAATGGCTTTATTCCTTGATTACTGTTCATTAAATTGGGTTAGTCCTGAGCAGATTACATAGTCTTGAAATAGTAGAGATTTGGTAAAAGAGATCATTTATTGCAAGAGATCATTCAAGACACATTAATAACTGTTTAGGTAGAAAAATGTATGCACTATTCACAAAGACATAACTGTACACCAATGTCTACTGAGGGGAAAATTTGTTTTGCTTTACCTAGCATGCATACATGAGAGCTCCTTTGGGCAGTGAATATCCCTTGTTGAATGTTTCGAAAGTGCTTAACACATCTGAGCAGTACCTCAAATAAACTATAATAAAATAACAAACAATAATATTAATAGAAGTACTTGGCTACCTTGATTATCACTTCAAAAGTTGTTGTTTTTTTTTTCTCTTACTTAATTGGCCTCTCAGAGTTGGTAAGACAACTCCCACCTGTTCATGCTCTCTGTATGTGTGTATATATATCTCCTCGATATATGTTTCACTCAATATGCATCCGAAGAAGTGGGTTGTAGCCCACGAAAGCTTATGCTCTAATAAATTTGTTAGTCTCTAAGGTGCCACAAGTACTCCTGTTCTTTTTGTAGATTGTGTATGTACTTTTAGCATGGTTTTTATAGCACTATTTTTTCTGGAGAAATAAAGACATTTTAAAAAACAGTAAAAAATCCTGAAAGACACAAAGCTTTTATTAACTGCAAACCAAAATACATAGTATGTCATTTACTTCATAGCCACCACTTCAGTGTTAATGATTAATTCTTAATGTTTATGCTCATACTATTCTGGCTGTGATCCTACAGATCACACAATCTAAGGCCTCAGACCTGCAAACATGTGAGTAGTTGTATACACAAAACTAGTGCCAATGAGTTCTGTAGCTACTCATGTGCATAAAGTTACTTGTGTGTAAGTGCTGGCAGGATTATGCCAAGTAGAGTTGGGCTAAATAGGAGATTTCTAAGTAACAAGTAGAGTGCAAAAGGAAGCAGTATTTGTAATTCATTAGATGCCACTCTTGCCCATGTCTAAGCATAGAAACTCTGCCCCCATACTGTCTTGGCTAAAATATTAAACCCAGAGCATGATCACTGCAGTCATTAATTATCCTAGTGCATGTTTCACAAGAGCACAGGTGTTCACCTGGCTGTTATGAATAAACTCTAATGACATTCTGCCTAACCAAATACTTCCTGTGTTTTCAATTGTGCACTGTTAAACAGCTGGCATGTCTGGTCCCAAAACTGACTGCACTTCAATAGCAGATGAAATGACCAGTGTACAGTTTAAATGAGCAGAGCATTCTGGAATGAAGAGTTCTATCTAAATGTAAAATGCACGAGAAACAAAAAGAAATGGACCAGCTGATTCAGCATCAAAGCCAAGAGCTGTGGGGTTTATAAAGCAGTGATTCAGTATAATTAGTATTTCTCCACTACAGTATTTTAGATTGTTTTCTTTTTAGTCCCTCATTTGTGGTCATATTTGTATTTTTAGCAAGGGGAAAGAGGATTTGGTGGCCAAACTAAAGATGACCAAACATCTTGTTTTATACTTTCAGAAAATCATCCGGGTTTGTGCTGGTGGATGGGGAAAGGTGGAATTTCCCCTTTCACTGAAGAACACCAGACAAAAGAATACTTTTACAACCATTATTCTATCATGTGGCTCATCGGGGTAGTACATTGCACTTAAAACTAGTTCCCCTGCTCAACTGACAAAGGGGGGCGGCGGGGAAATCACGTTACTGGATACCCAAAATGATATTAACTATTGTAGGAATATACAACTGTTCTAAGAATACGAATTCTTTGGGAGAGGTAACAGAAGTATGACGTTGATGTACCCTAAAGGCTCAGAAACAAAAAGGAAAATTAAAAGAAACCAAAAACGTATTTATTTTTTTAATTTCATGACTTTCAGGTATATAACTCACGATTTTTTAATTCTTATAATTGCCAATTTATCTTGGGGTTTTAGATCTATATTTAATAAAAATTACAGTATAAAATTGCTTTTGAGAAGGATTTTATACAAGAGTGTCAGAGCCAAATCTTTAAAGGTATTTAGGCAACTAGGGGGATTTTCAAAAGCATCTAGATGCTTTTAACCTTTAAAAATCTGGTCATTAGTGAATATTTGGGAACCCAAGTTCTACACACAAATTGCAACATGTAAAAAAAAACACTAGGGTGCTAGACAGAGGCAAGATAATAGTTAACAAAAACAATCTCCATTGGTGAATCAAAAAAAAAAAAAAAAAAAAAGTTTTGAGACCAACCCAGGAAATCAGTCAGCCTTAAAGTCACACCATCCCAAAGAATAAACCTGTGCATGGTGTGACCCTATACCCCAGGGGTCTCAAACACGCGGCCCGCGGGGTTCTTTCATGCGGACCGCCAAGCTCCCCACGCGCCCCTCTGCCTACCCTGTGGTGCCGCGAGCCCTGCACAGCTCCCTGAAGCAGTTGGAACTATGGCCCTTCAGCCCCAGGCAGGGCGGGGGGGGGGAGAGTAGAGGGCTCTGTGCTCTCACTTCCAGGCACCGCCCCCCGCAGCTCCCATTGGCCGGGAACGGGGAACCACGGCCAGCGGGAGCTTTGGGGGAAGTACCTGGAGGAGCAGCAAGAGCAGCACATGGTGCCGTTTTCCTCCGCCCCCGGGACTCCGGCTGCTTCCTGGAGCCGAGCGGGGCCAGGGAGCCTGCCCTGGCCACGGTGCGCAGCGCTGCCACCCCGGAGCCGCTCTAGGTAAGCGGCGCCGGGCCGGAACCCGCACCCCAACCCCCTGTCCGGAGCCCCCTGCCACATCCCACACACCCCTCATGCACCCCAACCCCCTGCCCTGAGCCCCCTGCCACACTTGCACCCCAACCCCCTGCTGCAGCCCTCACCCCCCTGCACCCCACACCCCAACTCCCTGCCCTGAGCCCCCTGCCGTACCCTGCACCCTGACCCCCTGCCGCACCCCTCCCCCATCCTGCAGCCCACACCCCAACTCCCTGCCCTGAGCCCCCTGCCGTACCCTGCACTCCCTGCCCTGAGCCCCCGCCGCACCCCTCACCCCTCCTGCACCCCACACCTCAACTCCCTGCCCTGAGCTCCCTGACACACCCTGCACCCCTACCCCCTGCCGCACCCCTCACTCCACCTGCACCCCACACCCCAATTCCCTGCCCTGAGCCCCCTGACGCACCCTGCAAACCTCCTGCACTCCGTGCACTGAGCCCCCTGCCACACCCCCACCCCTCCTGCACCCCACACCTCAACTCCCTGCCGAGCTCCCTGCCGTAACCTGCACACTTCCTGCATCTCAACTCCCTGCCCTGAGCCCTCGCCACACCCCGCACCCCTGGGGGCAGGGAGGGGGCAGAGTTGGGGTGAGGACTTCGGGGAAGGGGTTGAAATGGGGGCAGGGAAGAGGCGGGGCAGGGTTGGGGCCTCATGGAAGGGGTGGAGTGGGGGCGGGGCCAGGGGCAGCAAGGGGTGGGTGTCAGTGATGTGGCCCTAAGGCCAATCCACTAGTCCTCATGCAGCCCTCGTGGTCATTTGAGTTTGAGACCCCTGCTATACCCCATATTCTTCATAGACATATGCTTATGATATGAATATGGCATAACTAAGATATGTTTTATGCAAGATGGGTTATGTAAGGTGTCATTGGAAAGGTTATGATTTACTGAATAGGATTATCCTATTTGTATGCAGGTATCATTTCTGTATCTGAAGTTAGGTATTGACTATGTAACAATTTACAACTGTTTACACTTGGGGAATGCCTACCAGACAGTATGCAATCAGCCTGGATGGGCCATTAGGAAGGACAATAGGACTTTGAAGATGCTAATCTCCCTCCTTCCTGAGAAGTTTCCAGGGATGCTGCTTTTAACAGTGCAGGGTCAGGTGATCATGTCATCTGGTACTGAACACCATCTTGGACTTCTAGTTTTTCCATTAAGAGAGGGTGGGGGTCAAACTGGGAAACAAAGGATTTCCGCAAATCCTATTTAAGGCTGGGGACTGAGTTAATCTTGGTTCTTCTCCACTGCCTCCCTACCCACGAAGGAAGACTGCTGAAAACACCTGAAGAAACAAAGGAACTAAGCGGGAGGCAGGGGCTGAGCCCAGGCCAAAAAAGTCTAGCCTGTGAAAGGAAGACTTGGAGATTTAAGCTGCAAGCAGTGCAGTTTACCTTTGAGAAACTCTGCAACCTGTATAAAACAACACGTAGGGTGAGAATTTGCTACTATTAAGCACTTAATTTAGTGTAATAAGCTTAGTTTGTGTGTTTTGTTTTATCGGCGCAGTAATCTGCTTTGTTCTGTTTGCTATCCCTTATAATAACTTAAAATCTACCTTTTGTAATTAATAAACTTTTTTGTTTGTTTATTCTATAACTAGTTTGTGTAATCCATAACTGGGGGTGGAAACTGTGCATATCTTTCTCCAAATTGAGGGAGGGAGCGAATTTCATGAGCTTACATTGTATAGCTCTCTGTGCAGTGCAAGAAATATAATTTGGGGTTTACACTCCAGAGGGTGTGGGCACTTGAGTGCAGGGCAATCCCTGAGCTGTCTTCCCACACAGACTCTGTATGATGCTACAGCTGGGAGTGTCCCTACCTGTGTGTAAGCAGCAGGACACAGGGAGGGAGCCCAGGCTGGTGGAACGGGCAGGCTCAGTGGAAGCTCAGTACATCAGGTGGCACCCTAGAAGAGGGGACAACTCCTAGAATTTAGACATGAGGAAAACCCCCTAGAATTTAGAATTAAAAACTAATATAGTAATATAAACAGGAAGTGTTGTACCAGAACTACTGTGAGATGTGATTGCTGAAGCTTCCAGTAACTTCAATGATTCTTACTAAACCTATGCACAATTATATCCATCCAGTAGTAACAAATGTAAATGATGAAGACGTGCTAAGAGTAAGAAATGCATTTTAAAAAGTAAACTAGTTAAAGGAGCAAAACCACATTTACAGTGCATCACAAGAAAAAGGCAATCCAATTCAGGTCATCAGAACAGCAGCTCAAACGCATTTGGGAATTGCTGTGAGGCTTTATGCAGTCATAGGAACAGATAAAGGATTCTTGTAAACACTAACACCATGTATAAATGTGAAACTGCTCGGACGGGGAGGGAGAATGCATGTAACTATTTCACTGGTCTCCTTGAACAGCTCCAACATCACCTCCGACAGGGAAGAGCTGCCTTGTCTAGGCACAGGGATGCACACAGCCTGGGGAAAGGGGTGCTGAGCTGTACCATCCTGCTAGGGTGAAAAGACGCCTCTGGTCCTCATCATCTTATGTTTGCAACTACTGCAGCTAGCTCGCCTCGCCAGCTGGGGTAACTTATCCCCTCTGCCGTCCCCAGTGCCTCGTTCACAGTCCCGACTGCTTGCCCTTCTCCTGTGCATTCAGGCCCCACCCCCCGGGCTCTGCCCCCCTTCAGGCCCCGCGCACAGCAGCGGCAAGGCACCCCGTTCAGCCGAAGTTACTGCGCAGGCTCCATTCGCGGCCCAAACCTGCTCAGTAACAGCCAAGCAGCGACGTGCGGCGGGCAGCAGAACGTAACGTTACTCCGGCAGCCCCGCTGAGACTACAGCTCCCAGCGTGCCACAGCTCCCCGCCGCACGGAGACCGCAGCTCCCGGCAGGCAATGCTCTGTCATGGGCCTGGCCGGGACTTGTGCCCGTTGCATGCCGGGACCTGTAGTCTCCGGCGCACGGAAGTGTCACCGTTGTAATCTCCTCCCCGAGGAAAGGCGCACGGCTGGGGAGTCCTCATGGCGGGCGGCTCAGTCCCAGTACCGAGCGGAGAGGACGTTATTTGGCGCTGCCGCGAAGGCTCAACTAGGCTCAGCTCCGCCTTTCACAACTTCCGCTGCGTCGGGAAGCCATGGCGGAAGGAAGAGGGTATCTCTGATTGGCTGAAGAGAAAGCGAGGGGCGGGAAGAAAGACCCTTAACCCCGGCCGCTCTCCATTTTGATTGGATACAGGGCCCGAGGCCGACGTGGATGCAGGGGTGGAAAGTCCTCTCCTTATTGGCTGCGGGCCGCAGCGTCTCCCCGGAAGGAAGGGATAGATGTTGGGCCCAAGCAGACTTGAGCGGCTGCGCGAGCGAAACCCTGGAGACTCCGCGACTGGGCCCCCCTCTGGCAGGGTCACGTGGCAGGCCTGTCTCAGGAACTGTTGGTCTGGGGGCCGTTGGTGAGCGCGCGGGCGCTGGGCGGGGCTGAGCATGGCGACGGCCCAGGCCCTGGAGAGCCTGCAGGTGGAGGCCAGCTGCTCCATCTGCCTGGACTACCTGAGTGACCCTGTCACCATTGACTGTGGCCACAACTTCTGCCGGGGCTGTATTGCCCGCTGCTGGGAGGAGCTGGAAGGCCACTTCCCTTGCCCTGTCTGCCGCCGGCGCTTCCACCTCCGCTGCTTCCGTACCAACCGCCAGCTGGGCAATGTGGCTGAGATCGCCAGGCAGCTCCGTGCCAAGCGCAGCCAGCGCCACCGGCGCCCCCGCCCTGATACCGCCAGGGCTCTCTGTCACAAGCACCAGCAGGTCCTCAGTCTCTTCTGCGAGAAGGACCAGGAGGCTGTGTGCCTAGCCTGCCGTATCTCCTGCCACCACCGTGACCATGCCGTGGGTCCCCTTGACAGGGCCGCCCTGGCCCATAAGAAGAAGCTGCGTGCCTACCTGGGTCCTCTGAAGAGGCAGGTAGAAGATGCTCGTAAATTCCTCTCCAGTGAGCAGAAGAAGCCGGCTGAGCTGAGGGAGAAAGTTGAGAGCCGGCGGCAGAAAATTGCATCCGAGTTTGAGAGGCTGCACCAATTCCTGCAGGAGGAGCAGCAGGCCGTGCTTCGGCGGCTAGAGGATGAGGAGAAAGAGATTCTGCAGAGGCTGAGCGAGAACGCTGCCAAGCTTGCCGACCACAGCACCAGCCTCAGTAAGCTCATCACAGAGATTGAGGAGAGGTGCCAGCAACCAGCCATTGACCTACTGAAGGGCATCAGGAGCACGCTGAATAGGTGTGAAAATATCAGGATCCCCAAGGCCATCTCCACTGAACTGAAGAAGGACAGTTGCAGTTTTCCATTGCAGCACTTTGCCCTGAAGAAAATGATAAAGAAATTCAAAGCAGATGTGACTCTGGATCCAAAAACAGCTCATCCTAATCTTATACTGTCCGAAGACCGCAAAAGTGTGAGGTTCGGAGAGGCCAAGCAGGATCTGCCTGACAATCCTGAGAGATTTACTTATTACCCATTTGTTCTGGGCTCAGAGGGATTTGTCTCAGGAAGACATTACTGGGAGGTGGAGGTGGGAGATAAGACTCAATGGACTTTAGGAGTTTGTAGGGACTCTGTGACTAGGAAAGGGAAGATTACACCATCACCTGAGGATGGATATTGGAGACTCAGGCTGTGGAATAAAGATGTTTACACAGCTCTTACTTCCAGTCCCACACCCCTACTGTTGAGAGTGAAGCCTAAACGGATTGGGATTTTCCTGGATTATGAACTGGGAGAGATTTCATTTTACAATCTGAATGACCATTCTCACATCTACACTTTCACTGAAACTTTTACAGAGAAACTCCGCCCTTTTTTCTATCCCGGAGTCCATACAACTCCTCTGATAATCCGACCAGTTACAGATTGGGAATAATGAAATCAAGACATTAAAATAAAATACATTTAGAAAACCAGGATTTTTTTAAAGTGGTCATCTTCACTTCTAGTAATGGACTGAAGACCTGGTGGTTTAAGGCCAGAAGGGACCATCAGATCATCCAGGCTGAGTTCCTGTATATCCTAGGCCACCAGCTCCACCCAGTACCCACACATTGAACTAAAAAAAACGAGAGTTCAAAACCATTAGAACAGTTGTGGACCTTCTCACAGTAATTTCTTTCTACAAACCGAAGGCATATTTTCTTTTAACTAATGGAAGAATTGGCTTGTTAGCTCCGGTAGATATCCCATTCTTCTCCAGAGTAGAAGGGAGAGCCCAGGTTATCAAGGAGTAAACTGATACAAGATGACATTGTTTGAAAGTTTTATAAACAACACGGATGTATAGAAAGTTACATGCGCTTATGCTATTATGGCTTTTTTGTTAGTGGAATGGTATATGTTAACTTTTGCTGGGAGTGCAAACTGCAGTTAAAGTTGTATTTAGGCTTCCAGTATAAGTTCTTGTTTTCAAATATTCATGATTTTTTGTGTAAAATTCAGGAAAATCTGTCAATTTGTTTTTTAATTTATGAGAGTTTGGGGATAAAATGACTGTTTTCTACCCTAAAACATGGTATTAGTTTTGGGTGATTGTAAAATGGTATAATGGGTTTTCATGTGTTTTACTAATTCTAGACCAAATTTGCTCAGTTTAGAAGTTAATAAGATGGGGTTTTTTTAAATTGTCAGTCCTGCAAACTCAATCTCTGGGCACTGACAATCAATCTGGGTTCTCTCTTGTTTAGGCATAATCAATAAAGATTCTTCAGATTAAATTATAATCTTATTACAGATCCAGTTCAGTTATCTTTAGGTGGTTTGTATACATATGTAACTGAAGGCAGAATTTGTCCCTCCAAGTGAAATTTTAATAAAACTGTTTCACCACAATCAGACTGACATTCACAGCATCAACCACTCCTCTTCCCTCCTCAAAAAAACAAAACAAAGCAATCTTACAGAATGTTCTGTGCTTAGGGTAAACTGAAAAAGAAAAAAAGCAAGAGAATCCAAGTAGTCTACTAGGGCTTGTCAACATTTGGAAGCTTATCAAAATGCCCATTCTGGAATAATTATTACCGAGTAGTAACTTTGGTATAAACTGCTCTGTGGATACTCTTCTTCCAGGATTCATCTCTCCTTATTCCATTACTTTTGATGAGGTGTGGATCTCTAAGTCTGATTTGGAGCTACAGGAATGCTATGACATTATTTATGGATTCCACCCCCCCAACCAAGAAAACTAAATGGAAAAAACCCTAAATCAAAGCAGCACTAAGGTCACAATTTAAATATGCACAGAAGTGAGGGGGAGACAGAGTCATGCTAAGCTTTTGTAAAAACCGGTTACCTATGTTTCCTTAACTGGTGTTCTTTAAGATGTTGCACATGTCCATTTCGCTCTGGATATGTGTGCTCTTCACATACAGTCATCAGAAATTTTTTCCCTTGGCAGTAAGCACTGGGGATGTGTAAGTGCCCTCTGATGCCTCACACCATTGCACCCAGGTATAAAGGGCCATGCTGCCCCCCTCAGTACTTTCCTACCAGAAAGACTGGAATGGACATGTGCAACACATCTCAAAGAACACATAAGGAAAGGTAGATAATTTTTTTCTTCAAGTGATTTTACATATGCATTCCCCTGTAGGTGACTCACAAGCAGTTTGAACTGGAGGTCGGCCTCAACATCTTTTATTGTGTCTAGGTTGATAAGAGATGGCATAAGAGGAGGCAAACGTATGGACTGATGACCAGATTGCCAACCTACAAATGTCCAACATGGGTACAGAAAGGATGTGGAAGCTGCCTGCAACCTAGTTGAGTGAGCCACATCAGTCAATCAGTAGCATAAACGAATACAGGTGGAAATCCAGGAAGAGAACCTCTGGGTGGGTTTAGGGTGGCCCCTACTCTGTCTGAAACCACAATGAAGACCTGAATGGTTTAGTCTGATCCGGGTAAAAAGCCAAAGCTCTTCTAACAGCTAGAGTATGAAGTTTTTCCATTCCTTTTACTTGAATGTGGCTTTGGAAAGAGTCGGTAAAGAAATTGCCTGATTAATGTGAAAAATCAGAAGCCACTTCAGACAGGAATTTAGGGTCAAAGGAAAACCTTGTCCCTGAAGAAAATTGTATAGGGAGGCTCTGATACTAAAGCTTCTAGCTCCCTTGCTCTTCTGGCTGAGGTTATAGCAACCAAGAAAGCCACCTTCATAGACAGGGGGAAAATAAGTCACTAGAGGCACAAAAGGGACCCACCAGCTTTGCTAGAACCTAAATTTAAACTCCTCTGTGGAACCAGGCTATGAACCTGTGAGTATAATCTGAGAAAACCTTTTAGAAATCTGATGGATATAGGTTTTGAAAAAATTGACAGTTATCCACAGGAGGGTGGAAAACTGAGATAGCTGCCAGATGGACACTGATGGAACTAAGAGCTAATCTTTGCTGTTTTAGAAACAAAAGATAGTTCAAGATATGGCAAATCAGAGCCTGAGCTGGAGGGCGGTACTTTTTTTGTATGAGACAGAGAATCTCCTCCATTTAGCAAGTTAAGTAAACTTTGTTGAAGGTTTTCTACAATTTAACAGCACTTCCTGCATCCCTTAGAGCAAATGTATTCGGAGATTAGCGATGAAGCATCCACACTGTCAGGTGTAGGGTCTGACTGAAGGTTGGGATGAAGGAGGTGGCTGTAGTCCTGGGAGACCACATCCACATCTCTTGGGAGCAACAGAGCTAGTAGAGATGAAAACCAATGTTGATAGGGCCACGCTGGGGCTACTAGAATAAGGTGAGCAGACCCTTGCTTGACTTTGAACAGGAGCAGAAGTGGAGGGAAGGCATACAGTAGGCCTTTTGACCAGGGTATGAGGAACGTATCTATCAGTGAACTTGGGCTGTGACCTGCTCAGGAGCAAAAAAGACTTGTTTGTTCTTGTTAGAAATAGGTCCACTTAGGGAATTCCCCACTGGTGGAAAATGGCCCTGGATATATCTGGGTCAAGAGACCACTCATAGTGGTGACCTGCACATGACCCAATCAAGCAGAGGTGACGGGGGATGGGCAGCCCCCAGAATTCTGCCATGGTTTATACCCTTTTTTCCTCTTCCCTTTTTTTTTTTTTTTTTTTTTTTTTTTGGTTTTGGGTTTTTAGTTAAAAATTCCACTTCCCCCCCCCCCCCCCCCCCCCACTATCAACAGTTAAGCTTCACCTCTGTGCTCAAACGGTCTGCCAGAGTGTTTTGAATTCCCATAACGTAAGCAGCTTTCAGGTTGATGGAACTGGAGAGGCAGAAAATCTAGAGGAGAATTGCCTCTTGGCACAACAGCTCCAAGCACTTAAGAAGTGGGAAAGGTGGTTGGAAAAATTGGGATGGGGAAAGATGGTACTTATTGATAAGTGGGAGACTGCTCTCAACCAACAGGTCAAAATGATTGAGGACCCAGTTTGACTAGGAGAACAGCTGCAGAAGAGGGGGAAGAAGGAAGATGCTTCTTGTATCTTCTGCTCTTTTTGGGTACATGACAAGAAGGGCTGAAACTGTTGGGACTGCTATAGTTTTCTTTTTGTCGACAGTGTATAAATCTCCAGAGATTTAGGGGTAGCCTATAAATCCTTAAGACTATAAAGCCTTCTTGAAAACAGCAAGGGGCTTTCAAATGGGAGGTCTTGAATTGTTTGTTGCACATCGGGGGAAGACTTGATGACAGCAGCCAAGATGAACACTGAATCGCAATGACAGAAGCCATAGCTCAAGCCACAGAGTCCACTTTATCCAGGCTTACTTGAAGTGCTGTTCTGGCTACTAATTTGCCCTCTTACACCATAGCAATGAATTTGTGTTTTGCCTTATCAAGAAGCTTGTCTTTGAACTTCAGGATATTATCCTATCAACCCAGCACAGCCTCTTGGTTTGCAAATCCCAATCCTAAACTGTAAACCTGTGGAATAAAGTTACCTGCTGACCAGATCTAGCTTTTTAGCTTCTTTCCTTTTGGAAGTAGAAGCCTGGTGTCCCTGTCTCTCTCTTTCATTAGCAGCAGTGACTAGCAGGGAGCATGGAGAAGGGTGGTTAGAGAAGCGCTCAAATCCCTGTGAAGAGACATCTCTTTTCTCCATCCTTTTAGCAGAGGGAGGCATGGAAGATGAGGTCAGCCATAAAACCTTGTCGGTTCCTAATAGGGAGAGCTACCCAGGAGGGTTCTGCAGAGGCTAAAATGTCCATGTGTCAGAGACTCTTCCTACACCTCTTCTGGTTGGATATCCAGAGCAGCAGCCAGTCTCCTCAATATGTTTTGATGAGCTCTGAAATCATCAGGAGGGGGAGGAATTGACTGTTATTACCACCTCATCAGGTGGCAAAGAGGCAGCTATGGGTTGTTGAGGAGGTTTTCCAAAGATTTTCAAAAAAATGTATTAGTGTTTCCTTGATTGGGTAGTTTAGTAAGTCTAAATGTGCCAAAGTAACCCACTGCCACAACTAAGGTCTGATTTTTAGAGCCTTTCTTCCCGCTGAAGTACTCTGTCTCTGCTTGGATGGTCTTCATCCCATTAGGGATTTAACTTTCTAGTTGGAGCATTGGAAGAGAATTTTAGATTTTTCTCCCCCAACCCTTGACCTCATTAAAAGAGTTGATGCTGCTTAGGATCAGGGCCTTTTTCACAGAGGTAGGGTCCGACTAACATTCTTTTCCCTGGCAGATCAGCACTTGGATAGGAATATGGTGTTAGGTGATTTTGAATAACATATCTGTTGGTCACCAAAGATGGCAATTGTTTCAAGTAGGAAAGGGATCTGAAAAAAAAACAAACAAACTAAGAACTGACTCATCTGGCACTCAAGCTAGATTAGCTTTGGGTGAACATTTCATGTCCTGAGTTGGACAGCTCTGTTCTGCAGAGCATTTTTCTTCTTTGTTACTGTCACATGTACCCTTTTTTAAGTTAGGGTGACACACAGATTGCTTCCCTCTTCCTGCAGTTTTAAACGTATCTTGTCTTAAAGAAATAGACTTCTCAGTGAAAAGTAAGAGAAGTACGAATCTTAAGAAAAAGCAGCACAATGTCTGCCACAAAATCAGAAATGGACAGTAATACAAAAGACACTGCAAAACTTTTCTTGGACATAAATGTCTTTATTCAGTAACATTCACTACATTTGTGTATCTGGCCACTATAATAAACTGCTTGAAAGGGAAAACAGCTACTTTAACTCTTGTATTAATTTGAACAACTTGTTTCAATCCTTAGATATGTTTTGAGTAACACTAATATTTGAGAAAAGTAATGGTTACTGGAACAAATGTTGTAAAACAAGTCTAACAATTACATGTTACTTATAGACAGAGATGGGTCCTGTTCATTCAGTGTACCTTGTGTTTGAGTGCATGGGACATTGAGTGCTGGTGTAAATTGCAAAGTCGATGCTAGCCTTAGCTTTGTCCCCATTGACTTAGAGTACCCATATAACCTAATACCAAATCACTTCCACTAATGTGCTGCATATTAGCATAAATATATATGCAGAGCAGTTTTCATTCTGGAAACAAACATCAAGCTGATGTGACGAGCATTTATAGTTAAAGGTTAGTATAAACAGATTAAGTAATCTGTAAAACAGTGTTATAAATTCATAGATTCCAAGGCCAGAAGGGACCATTGTGATCATCTAGTCTGACCTGCCATATAATACAGGCCATAGAACTTCCCTAAAATAATTCTTAGAGCATATATTTTTAAAAAGCATCCCCTCTTGATTTAAAAATGTCCGTAATACCGAATGCACCAAGACCCTTAGTAAATTGTTCCCACAGCTAATTACTCTCCCTGTTAAAAATGTATACCTTATTTCCAGTCTGAATATCTAGCTTCAACTTCTAGACAC